TAAGTGATTAGCATGTGCCATTCTGTCATGTGAGTGCGCCAACCAGCTAGGATGGAGTTAGAGCATGCCACAGTGTGGAACCACAGGCAAGTCTTCAGTCAATGTCGAGATCTCTCTGTGACACGCTGCAAATATGGCCGAGGAGGGGATAACTCTGAGAAGACCCATGACTGCCCACCCGCTGTTTCCATAAAGGACTTCACGCTACAATATGACAACTTGGTAAAGGTGCATGTGCATTGATGAAGACCGTTCAGCCCCTTGAGCCTGTTCCACCATTCAATGACATCATGGCTGATCCGTGGCCTAACTCCATAAACCTGCCTTTTGGCTCATATCCCTTAAAACTTCTATTTAACGAAAACTTATCTGTCTCAGATTCAAAACTAACAATTGATCCAGCATCCACTGCCATTTGTGGAAGAGAGTTCCAAACACCCTTGTGCGTAGGACTGTTTCCTAACATCTGTCCTGACCAGTCTGGCCCTGCTTCTCAAACTATGCCCCTAGTTCTGGAATCTTCAACCGGTGGAAATATTTTAACTTTATCTACCCTGTCTTTTCCTGTTAATATCTTGAAGACTTTGATCGGCTCACTCCTTAACCTGCTAAATTCTAGAGAAAATAGGTCTAATTTGTATAATCTCTCCTCATGAATTAACCCCTGAAGTCCTGGTATCATTCTGTAAACCTATGCTGTGCACCCTCCAAGGGCCAATCTCTCCTTCCTTGGTGTGGTGCCCAGATCTGCTCACAGTCCTCCAAGTGGGGTCTAACCAGGGTTTTGTATAGCTGCAGCATAACTTGTATTACAGTCCCTTAGACACAAAGAAAAGATGACCTGAGGTTATCCAGAGTTAATTCCCAATACTTCTCAATGGCTTTTACTGTTCAAGTAAGGCCAATGTAAGGGTGTGAACAAGTTGAAAAATAAAGACCTTTTTTCACATATTTAATGTTACTGTTATTTTCTTTGTCATAGCTTGTGTTTGTACAAGAAGCTGGACAACATAGGATCTTCCTTAGCTCTCTTGAAGCTTTGCTTGACACCCCTTTGTGGGCAGGCTACCTGTGATTTGACCAATCTTGGTTTGACTGTAGTTTTTAACTCCATGTTTGGGGGAGGGGGGAGGACTTGATTGATTGCTCTTTAAAAGAGCTGACATGGGCACGGTGCGGTGAATGGTCACCTCCTGTAATGTAGGATTCTGTAATTTAGTGTCGGGTTCTGTGTCTTTTTTTGAAGTGATGAGATGATAGAGAGCTGGTGCACGATCGAGAATGAGCAAATGACACAGAGCCAAGGCAGAGTCCATTGGAAATGAAAAGGAGCCAGAGAGACAGCTTAGCACCAGGAAGTGTGAAAGGAGCAGATGGCGACACAGTCATAAAAGGACAAAAATGAGAGTTGAGGGCAAATGGAAAAACGAGGCAATGGGAGACAGCAAGAAATAGCTTCTCCTACAGGGAGCTCCCTCCTGCCCCATTGTGAAGACCAGATCAATATTTGTCCCAATGCCACTCGAAAACCGATTAACTGGCCACTAATTCCTGCCGGTTACTGCATTTGCTGACATCATGTAGTTCACAGCAAACATTTGGGAAGGGAAACCGTTTGCTAGCTTTTCTCACAAAGGGATCACACAGTCTGAGTAACAAGCTCTTACTGCAGTTATACAGGGCATTGCTGAGGCCATTCCTGCAGTATTGAGCCTGAGACCTGTGGAAGGACATAGCTGCTCTGAAGGAAGTGCAGCAGAGGTTCACTTACTCCTGGGAGGAGCTGGGGAAGGTCCCATGACGAGAGATTGAGTAGACCAGGACTTTATTCCCTGGAATTTAGAAGAATGTGAGGAAGAAGCTCATTGAAACATCTAGAATTCTTAAAGGTAGATGTTGAGAAGTTTTCCCCACCGCAATTCTAGATTGGGGATTCTAGAACGTGGGGCATAGTCTCAGGGTAAAGGGTTGGCCATTTAAAACTGAGATAAAGAGAAATTTCTTCACACAAAGAATTCTAAATCTTCGGAATTCTCTAGACAGCTGTGGACACTCAGCCACTGAGTCTTTAAGGCTGAGATTGGTAAGATTTTTGGGATTTCAGGATAGTGTGGGAAAATGGGGTTGAGGTAGAAGGTCAGCCATGATGCTGTGGAGTGACAGGGAGCAGGATTGAGGGACTGAATGGCCTCCCACTCCAATTTTCCTATGCTTTTATGTCATCTCCACACTCAGTGCACTGAATTCACCTGAAAGTTACTTCTGAGAGGGTTTTCAAGAAGATTTGTAGCTTGGGTTGTGGATGAGATTGTAGATATGCTCACCGAGCCAGTGTGTTTGGTTGCAAATGTTCCGTCACCCTGCTAGATAATATTGTCAGTGGGGCTCCAGTGAAGCGTTGATGTTCTGTCCTGCTTGTTATTTATATGCCTCAGATTGTTGGGGTGTTTGGTACCACTTCCAGTTCTGTTTGTCAGTGGTTTGTACACAGTGTCTAATTCAATGTGTTTGTTGATGGCGTTCCGGTTGGAATACCAGGCCTCCAGGAATTCCCTGGCATGTCTCTGTTTGGCTTTGGCGTTATGAATGTGTTGTACCAGCTGGACCCGTGTCCCTCTTTGTCAGTATGTAGTGAGATAAGAGGCACGACCAATTGTCACTTGTCTCACTACACATTCATCACTATCATCATTTTCTCAGATGCAGTTCCCTCACAGTGGCTTGGGGTAAACCCGGTGCTGGGTAATGTGAGACCAGCTAGTAGTGACCACCCCTCACTGCCAGGTACAGCTCCCTGCCCCCCTGTCTTTGTCCCTCCTCTCTTTGTCCGTCTCTGCTGTCCCAGCTGAGAACTTACTGAGTTACAGCGTGCTGAGTAAGTGGGATTGAGGACACCTCCTCCATGATCTTGCACCCCCCGCTTCCCTTCCTCGCAGAGAAGCTATTCGGCTGTGAAAGCCGTGGTACCTGGACCAGATGGAATTCCCGTTGTAACCGCCTACTGCTCAGATTGGGATCTCAGGCTCGCTGAATGCGGTGGAGTGGGGTCAGTCTGCCTCCCACCCACTTCAGTTCCAGGGATGAGAGAGTGCTTCATTCGCGTAGAATTTGGATCTTCCCCCAAACACGGCTGTCAACGTTAGACAGATTAGCTCCAACCAGGCACATGGCTGGGTGAGTAACGCCTTCACCCATGAGGTAGATGGTTGTGGGTTCAAGATCCACCTCAGGGACACTGGCACAGGGCTGGGGCTGACACTCTGGTCAGTGCAGCGCTGGGGGGTAAGGTGTGTGTGTGTGTGTGTGTCTCTCTCTCTCTGAGGTACTGCCCTCACATTGACATGTTTGACCAGGGTCACCTTGGATGGATGTAGATGATGATTTGGTGCTGTTTATCAAAGACATTCGGAGGGGCTCTCACTCTTTGGGGGAAAAGGCGGTGATGTTGACCAAAAAACCAAAACAAATGGTCTGGCCACTATTGATGTTTGTGGGATCTTGCTGTGCACATAGTGGCTGCCTTTACCTTGCGTCACGACAGCGACTACACTTTGAAGAGCACTTTTTTTAAAAAAAACCGGCTTGTCAGATGAGGGCATTGCTGGCTGGGCCCAGCATTTATTGTCCCGTCCCTAGTTGCCTCTTCAGAAGGTGGTAGTGAGCTGGGGTTTCGCAAACCATTGCACTGGCTGTAAAAACACTCAGGCTGTCCTGAGAACATAAAGAGGTGCCTTTTGGGTGAGAATTGAGAGACAGGTTGGGTCCAGTGGGGATATCAGCTGGAAAGGGGAAGCGGTTAGTGGCTGATGTCTGGAACTGGTGGAACAGAGTGGAAGATGGATATCTGATGGGGGTTTTGTGTGTGTGTGTGTGTGTGTGCACGCCCAGGGGTGTGTGTGTGTGT